CTGCACAGTATGCCTCAGGAAGCTCAGTTACGATTGGAAAGATGAGTCTGTTTTCGGGCCCTGAGTAGGTACTGGCACCGCTGCTCCACACCGCGGCAGTGCCTCCCACCGCGGACCCCTCCCTCGCCGGCGCTCAAAAACCTCCCTCCACAACTGACCAAAAACTAGGGTGTTTTTTTAAGCCGACTTTATATATACATTTGCCATTAGAGTTGAATACTTTCAAGGGTTACTTAATCATACTTTGCCAATTATCCATTGAGCTAACCTTTTTGAATCTGTTGTACACATACAATATACTGATATTCGTTAATTTTGTGATTTTTTCATACATACAGGAACTTTTTTAATAAGTCAAAGTTTAGTGATTTCTTCAACTACTTTTTAGCTTATCATCTCTTTCCCTAGCAAACCTCAGAAAGACTGTCCTTCCATAATCTATTGGACTTTGGCTGTTTTATAAACAAGAAATTTCCTTTAGCAGGAATGAGGGGAGGCTGTGAAGTAATTTATTTTTTCCAAACAGCGAAACAACTGCCTCTTGCAGCATTTACTAATTCAACATGTCTTGGACAATTCGGGGTACTTTATAATGTAATAATAGCATCACAGGGTCTTCATAGGGTCTATGATCAATTACAACCACTAACTGGTTGTTAGTGATACACAGAAAAGCTCACGAATTCCGCCTCTATCTTGAATCTGGCCACATTACTAAATTCTCCTTCTGATTCCTAGGGCCCCTTTGTTGTTAGCTCTCTTGGACTGTCTCTTCCCTATCAAGCCATCATTGTTAATTTTGGTTTCCACATCCATTACTGTATTATAAATCCACTTTTTACTCTTCATTTCCTGAAAATGAAAGTATGTGTAATGCATACCAGGGTGGGCAAACGTAGGTTTACAGTTGCACTGACCTTTTTTTTTTTTTTTGAGTTAATGAAGCTACTGCAATAATCATAACCTACCTGCATGTCTTTTTCCATGCAAACAACGGCAAACCTACTTTTGCCCTCCCCGTACGTGTAACTTTATCAATAACTCAACAAATAGTTACGGAGCACCTACTATATGGTAACACTATGGTAAGGCCAAGAACACAAGAAGAGCGAAACAGCAAACCTGTCCTTGTGGGATTTGTTAGCTAGTTTGACAAGTGAATAAATTAGACTTTATTTTAAAAGCAGAAGGAAACTTGAAACGCTTTTAAACAGCAGCACAGATTAAATCAGGTTCATGACTCACGGAGGCTACGAAGTCTCAAAGTCTGACGAAGTCTCCGAGTATTTTGAAATTCCTCAGGCATACTCCCCTCTGTGAGCCTGAATAAGCTCTACCTGGAGGTAGTGGGGATCACCTACCTCTCCAGCTGTCGTTCCTTCCTCCAAACCCTCCACTCTGCTGCCAAAACAAGCCTCTAAGTTATCCTTTCCCTCCCTGGGGCTGGGCTGATACCTAACCAAGTGCCCACACTATTGTTGCTCCCTGTGTTTTGGGTGCAGACGCTACAGGCAGGGAACATCCCTGCGTCTGGAATCAGGGAACAGGGGAGGCGTCTGGAGTGATCACAGGTGAGATCCTGACCGAGCATGGCACAGCCTGGCCAGAAAGGAGGACTCTCTGAGATGGCAGAGATCTGAGCTAGGGCGGAGCCCTGTCTTTTGTTGTTGTAAACTCATATAAATACGAGAACCTTAACAAACATGGAGGTATGCCCCACTTAGAGAAAGGTCCGAATGCAGCAGCCACAAGAGGCCACGCTTCACACTCAGTCCAGCGCTGCCGCAGTGTCTCCAGGCCACGAGCGCGCAGAATGGGGCCCCATGGCGGGTGATTGGCCGTGCGGCTGCCACCAGGACTGAGCCGGGAAAGAAGGGGGTGCTCCCTGGCCACCCCAGGCCAGGCCTGTGGACTGACAGAGAGCTACCCTGAGTCTTCACCTCCAGCGTTTGGCTTCTGTACCAGTTTCCTCCTCCAGACTGTTAGCTCCTTGAGGGCAGGGACTGTGTGTCATTCGTATGTGTAACCCCCTTGCCTGGCACGTCATGAAGCCTACTGAATGCGGATTAAATAAATGGATGACTAAACCCCTCCCTGAAGAGACGGACCTGCTCCGCGCCCCCCACCCCCCGGCCCCGGGATCCTGCAGAGCTACAGATTAGCACCACAGGGTGCTAATGCAGGCATCTCTCCTGACGCCGCCTCCTTAAAACCCACAATGACTCCCGGAAACAGCGTAAACGTCATCACGGCCAGCTGGACGTCAGGTAGCTGGCCTCAAGGCCACAGCTGGCACGTGCCCAGCCAGCCTCCCGGGACAGCCCCTCGGAGGCTTTCAGCGAATTACTCCTACCTGGCCCTCCCCCCGCAACCTCGGCGCCCGGAGGTCCTGAGCCGCTCCGCGACCCTGCTGGCCTCCTACTGCCCGCTCCTCTCCCCACCGGGCCCCTGGCGAGGAAGAACAGACGCCGCTGACTGAGCCAGTCTTCCTCTGTGAGCTTGGTGGGAAAACATGCTTGAAAGAGCCTGACCATCCCTGCGCCACGCCAGGCTCCTCGCTGTCCCTGACGTCCGCCTTGCGCCCGCACGCCCCACGCCTCTGCCCAGTGCCTCTCCCTCCACCGCAAAGCTGGCCGGGGTGCACAGCCCGGGGCCGATGGCTCGTCCTCCCGTGGCCTGGTCTCATGTGGAGGCTGCCCTTCAGTCTGGCCACAGCTGGTCAGGGTGAGAGAGTAATTACCTCGTGGCCTCTTCCTACATCCTTTTTATTCATTTAGTCACATGGCATGACAGCATTTTGTTGACCTGTTTCCAGAATCTCACCTGTAAAGGAGTGTGCTCCTGCTGCATTTTCTAAAGGCCGAAAAACGAAGTGCTAGGCCCACAGTATACTGCACTGTTCGGTGCTTTTAGTTACTAAATTATTTAATTGTGTTTAGTGAATCTAAACATTGCCAATAACGTGTGTACATGTGTGTAATACATGCAAACTATGTAAACAACGTGCATTACGCAGCCGTATAATTACCTGCTGATTGAAAAGCGGGAGGCCCCTGTTCGGCCGCAGGGCGGGGCGGCGGGCGGCCTACCCCCACCAGGTAACGCTCGCTTTTCTCCTTGGTCCGGCTCTGCTTTTGTAAAAGCAGAATATCCTGGTATTTTCTAAAACGGCCATTATTACCAAATTCGGCAGAATGTAATCATCTCTTTGTATGCAGTTCTCCCATAATTCAGTTGTTTTTTTTTTCCTTGATGAAAAATTTTCTGCACTAATTAGGTGCACTTCCCTCATTCACTGCATTTCCCTCACTCACCTCACACTCCCCTCTGCAATTCTTTCTGTGGTGTTGGCCTTCGGGTCTTTTATTCCCTTTGTCTTCCTGTGTGTCTACGTGTTTTTAAACTGAATAGACACAAACACACAGAGAATTAACTGTAGTTTCCTAAACAAATACTGGTGTGCACACTTAATATGTTCAGATTATTACAACAGGCATGCACACGAATGCTGTGTTCAGCTTGTAACTGCGGTTGTTTCAGAGAGAGGATCAAGGCTACACTGTGAACTGGAGCACATTCGTAAGGTCCACACTGACCTTTCCCACAATATTTTTTTATATCTTATTTTTAATTTACTACTATTTTCAATACCTTCAACTTTCTCAGAATGTCTGATTGCATTTTATGTAGATACAAATTCTCTATTGCGTATTCAGTTTTATTTTTCCCTCTTTTTTTATTAGTAAAGACATTAACAATAAAATAGGCTCCTTTGCCCCAGCTGGTAATTTCTCCACACTAGTAATATATTATTCCTCTTTTCGTGACATCATAATCATCTATGCAGAAGTACCATGTATCTTTGTGTAGAAGCTACTGTTTCCATTAAATTTAATTACCTCCCCCTGTGGTTTTAAATAGAAGTGGCTTCAAAATGAGGGCAGCTTCTATTAAATTTAATTACTTTCCCCTGCTGCTTGCATGTAAAAGGAGGTTGCTAAATGAAATCAGCTTCTAAACTAAAGTATATGGTAACTGTGCACTAGCAATAGGAAGCTGTACCCAACCTTCTCTGAAAGCTCATAGGTGTATCCTTCCTCGAATTTTAAATTTTGTTTAGCCTTGATTTAAGATCTTACATGAAAAATGAGCATTGATAGAAGAGATGCATTTTAAAATCGGTTTTAGTTTCATGGACTAAATAAAGGTAAATATACCCTTCCTGTACAACGATACTGGAAATTATCCCACTCAGAGGTTTGACTCAGTTCTAAGTTAATATCATTAACTGTTGTTGGATGATGAGTTTTATAATTCACACCTTTTTAATGCCTAGTAAAAAGCCTTCCTTGATCCTAATCAGATGGATTTAAATAATGCTTCCTAAAAGTTAATAAAAAGGCATCAAGTTGGGGAAGAAATTCAAAGAAATATTTACAAATATTAATGTTAAAATGTGAAAAAAGAAAAAGACATCAGGCTCATTATAAACAACTGTCTTTGAAAAAAGTTAATCTATACGCTCTGTAACAGTGTAAAAATGTGAATCTGTTTTAAAATACCAGGATATAATCCTATAAAATCCGATACAATATGAAATTTTAAGTACCTCTTTTTTCATTAAATATTAATTAGTAGGAAATACTACTTGGTTAAACCGCCATTGTGCTGTTTATTTTTTTTTTTTTACAAACAGGCAGAATTTAGATGAACAATATTTCCATTCAATCACACAGTTTAGTATAAATATAAAACAAGACACCCCTTAAGCATTTTAAGTAACAAATTAAACATTTACATTTTTTACTGTGCACTGAGGCTTAACATTTATGCAGCTTCAAAACCAAAGTGCAGCCTCCAGGGAAGCCTCTCCACTGACAAATTAATACCTTAGAGAGCAGAGCTGAATGGTGGCAATGAACTCATTTGTTCCCCCAATAATGAAGAATGACTTTTTCTTTACCACATCTGTGACGGTTGCTATGGTGACCCAGACTTACCTCACTGCCTCTCGCAGAGCTCCCCGCTCCCCCAGAGTCGTGTGCTTGATGTCATCAAAATTATTCTCCAGCTTCTCACAGCCCTGCAACACATCATAGACGCATCAGTCCTCCGGCGCCCGGGGATAAAATTATATCCATGCAGTTACGGAAGAGTGTAATTGATTATATTGATTATGGACTCATGAAAGATATGTGCACCGCTTTAATTGGGTAGGATTCATTAAAATTGACAGTGTGGATTCAACAGCAATAAAATAAAAGCGTCCAGGATATGGCTGTCACAGAACTCTTTCTCCCAGTTTTCCAAAATTGGGAAAATAGAAGAAATGAATAAAAATCAGTTCTCAAACTTAATCTTGAGTATAACAAAGCCAATTTAAATTCTGAAGAGAAAGTCATTAAAGTTTGAAATCACAACCATGTATGATAAATATTTAGTTCTACATAAATTAGCAGTTATTGAGATGAAAAGACAGAACTCCAGTATACTAAAATAATTTTTAAAAAATCCAATATTGTGGTACCAAAAATTTATAAGATCATTAAATAATAATTGTAATAATGTTAACAATTACATATATACACACAGACTACTTATAATTAAGTGACTTTATAGCACGTTCTGAGCATTACTGGGCTAAATATTCTAAGGTGTTTAAATTTTACTACAATTTTAACTATTGTTTTATTCATAACTAACAATCTTATATAACCCCAGTAAGTTTTAAAAACATAATATATAGCACTAAATTTTAGACTAAAAAATGTATCCATATAAATTCCTGGCACTTTAGACCTCATGAAGAATTTAGTAGTACTTAGGTAATAAAATAATTCAATTTAGTATTTTAGATAATTTAACAAACAGAAAAACTAAATAACAAAATTTTAAATATTGTTTTCTTCGTATTCTCAAAGTGTAAACAGTAAGTTGAATTTTAGAAAATTACATATTTTATATTAATAACTTCCAATGTCTAATAATTAATTTATTTAAAACCTCTGGGTATATATGTACCACTATTTTTACCTTGATTTTTAAAAGCCAGCCAAATTAAGGCAAAGATCCTTTTCAATACAGATTTTTATAACAAAAATCTTACAAATTCCCACAATGCATGTAAAATAATCTGAAGTCTTAGTCACGTCCTCCTTCAGACAGGTGACCGGAACTAGTACCTCATATCCTTTGTTTTATCTTTTTGCTTTAGTGATGTCTTTTCGTGAAGAGAACTTTTGATTGTTAATGAAGCCCAATTTATTCCTGTTTACATTTATGGTTGGTGCTTTTCATGTCCCGTGTACAAAAGCTTTGACTTCCTCAAGGTTATGAATATATTTGCCTATATTTTTTACAATGCTTTATCATTTTACGTTTCCTATTTAGAAGTGCAATCCATCTGGGATTGATATATCTGTACATGGTGTGAGTTAGGAAATCACACCTCTAGGTAATCAATTAAGTCATTACTATTTATTGAAAAGACCATTATTTCGCCGACTGTAATTCATAATTATCTTTCTCCATAAAGTCACAGCGCATATGAGGTCTGTTTCGAGGGTCCATAATGGTCAACTGTTCCACTTCCTATCCTCGTGCCAATATCACACTACTTAAATTATTTATATCCATAATAAATTAAAAACTACAAATAAATACGAAAAAAGACAGATAATTCAATGGGGAGTGAGTAAAAGGCTATATAAACACTACATAAAAGAGAATATCCAAATAGCCAATTTAAAAAACAAACAAACATGATCAATATCATCAGTCATGAGGAAGGTGCAAATGGAAACAGTGAGATACCATAACACACTTTGGAAATGACTAAAATGAAAAGACAGATCACACAAAGTGTGTGTATTTCAGTATAAAAAGCAACAAAAGCACTGCTGTTGGAAGTGTAAAGTGTTATGACCACTTTCTAAAGCAATTTGGCAGTACTTTCAAAAGCTGAGCCTTCCCCCCTGGGAATACACTCCGAACAAATATGTACCACGTTCACCTAAAGTCTTGTACAAGAGCAGCAGCAGTACCACTATTCAAAAGAGCCTCAAAGCGGAAACAAGTGAAATGAACATCATGATGGAACGTGTAAGGAATGACGTATGCATTCAGTGGGAAACTACACAGTGATGAGAACAAACAGACCGTGGCTGCACTGAGTTACACAGACGCATCTCTCGGCCACAATACTCAGCACTAAAGGGGGACAGAAAAGAACACGGGGGAAAATCATTCCCCTGACATGAAGTTCCAAAATAGGCAAACCGACAGCGGATAATCTAAAAATGAAAATGAGCAGTACCATTTATAAGTATAAAAAGAATACTTTCAAAGTAATTTAACAAAAGAAGCCTAAGATTTATGCACTGAAGAAAATAAAACACCATTAAAAAAAAAAACTGTTAAACGAGCAAAATAAATGGAAAGACATCCCATGTTCATGGATTAGAAGATGTGATAGTGTTCAGGTGTTATTTCTTCCTAAATTGATCCAAAGGTTCAAAGCAATCCCTATAAAAATCCCAGCTGACTTTCGATTTCTACAGGTTTTGATAAGATGCTCTTATAATTTATAGGAAATTGCAAGGGACCCAGAAGAGTCAAAATATTCTCTTAAAAAGAAGAGCAAATCTGAAGAACTCACATTCCCTGATTTTAAAATTTCTACAAAACACAGTCATCAAAGCAGTGTGATGCTGGCGTAAGAATGGACATATATAGTGCAATGTGTAGCTGCGTAAATATTTGGATACACATGTTCTTAATAGCATCATTCATAAAAGAAAACAAGTAGGAAAATCCAAAAGTCAATCAAATAATAAATGGATAAACAGATGTGATATACTGATACAACAGAATATTATTCATTAAAGAAGGGAAGTTCTGATCCGTGCTACAACATGGATAAGCCTCAAAAACATTTTGCCGAGTGAAAAAGCCAGATACCAAAGGCCACCGTGTACGATTCTCTTTCTATGAAATGTACAGAGTAGGCAAATCCATGGAGACAGAAAGGGGGTTATTAGTTGCTGGGTCTGAAGAGATGAGGCAACGGGATTGTTTTTGAAAAAGATTGAAGTATTCTGGAATTAGTGGCCATCAACGCATAACTATGAATATACTGAAAACAACTAAGACACTTTTAAAAGAGTAAACATTACATGTGAATTATATCTCAATGAAACTGTTACTTTTAAAAGGGCAAAGCCCATCAAGATGTCGCAGGTTGCTGAACAACGACTACGGGGGCTCTAGGGACCCCACCGGCACTGCCGGAGCCATTCAGCAAAAGTTTATGGGACCAAGTGGTTATGACCTGTTCACTTTGCCGGGTCCTTACAATGCATTAAAAAGTTCTTACAAGACTATCTGAACTCTGGTTGAGAAATAATGCAATTACATACCGCCGTAGTTAAAATTAAAGCATGCATATACGGAATTCAAAGACTCAAAGGCTTAATAAATGTTAGCTACCAGCTAATACTAATAACATTTTATTATTTATTAACATTTTGTACTAAAGATTCAGTTAAGTCTAACTTATCCTGATTTAGCTTTGATACTTCTTCCATTAAATTATGAACATTTTCTCTCTATAGTGACATTCAGACAATTACAAATGCAAAGATAAGCAACTAAATTATTTGGATTGAATGGCCTTTTCCTTTCTCTTTTGCTTTAATAGTGGCAGTGAGACCAAAAAATAAATAAAAATAAAAATAAATAAGAGAGAGGGGAGACAAATATAAATTTTCCACTTTACAAATTATAGTGCCCTTTCGAATGTTTTTATGGAAATAATTTTTAAAAGGAATTTTATGCTCATAGATGTTCATTGTAGCATTTTATGGCAGTGAAACAATAAATGAAAAATCTTAAATTTTCAGCAATAAATGAAAGGCTAAATAGGTCTCTAAGTTTGAGGATGTTGCTGTTTAGGTGGATTTTCAACAAGCCAATGTTTATATGATAGCGTGTAATTTAAAAAACAACACTATACAATTATATATTATGTATGATCTGGTTACAGTTACAGAAAACAGATAAGCAGAGACAAAAAGGATGAGAAATGATGGTTTAACTCAGATTATCTCAGAATGTTGAATAAACAAGAGTGTTTCTTTTTCACTTACACTTTTCAGTATTTTTCAAAGTTTCAGTTCTGGGCTTACATCTCTTTTTGACTTCAAGATAAATCATAAATAATTAAGATTTTTAGAGCTTTTGGCACTATAGGGTGGGGCAAAAGTAGGCTGACAATTATGAGCAAACAAAACAGTCTGTTCTTATATTATTATTTTTTATTGTACTAGTTTCCATAGGAACTGTAAAACTGCTTTTGATATGCCCTGTATATTTTCTATGTCAAATACACTGTTTTTATAAATATAACACAAGTGCTAGTAAGAGAAATTAATATAAGTCAGACTTTGACTTTTTAAATACTTATTAATTTTTCTATTGCAGATATGCTTGACTGATTAAGATTTTTGCCTACTTTATTTGCCAATGAGTTCATACAAGTTTTCATATTTCAAATTGCCCCCCAAAAAGTTTTCACTGAGCTCTTTCTCCCCTTTACTTTTGCACACGGGTATGATGCTGAACACAAAGTAATAAAAGGAAATAAGGCCATATAACAAAATTATTTACATTCATTTACCACATTCAGCCCACAACACAGCTTACTGTTCGCTGCTACCGATCCCATCAGTTCATATTAATCACTGCTGTCTTACACTTAAACCTTAAAGCAGAAGGTTTCATAACCTATTTTTTTTTGTAAATTTTATGGCTTTCCACATGGAAAACGATACCTATTTTTAATTTGGGGCTTCCTCACAGATGGTTTATAAATCAGATATGGGAATAGATATTTCTATTTAATTGCTATGGTCATATTTTTAATAAATCTATAACTTTGTGTTTATATATACATCTATTACATGTGCATTATAAATATAATATGTAATTAATATATGCACATTGTGTGTGTATTTATATCATCTTAGCTAGATGGAGTGATTTAATAAAAATAAAACTGTCTTTTGACAAGGTGTTCTTGTTTTG